TAGAACATAGATGGAAGTGGGGGATCGAGGAGATTGCAGTAGTGGACCAGTACACATACCTCGGAGTAGAGATCGCAAAAGACTGCTCGTGGAATGCACACATGTCCAAGGTAGCGGAAAAGGGCAAAGAACGACGAGCAGGGAAGCTGCACCCAATACTCGCAAACCGGCACCTCGATGCACGCATCAAATTGGCGGTTTTGAAGAGCGTAATCGTACCGCCGCTAGAGTACGCCGGAGAAGTATGGGAAGGAAATAAGAAAGTAGCGAAATAACTCGAGGCGGCGCAGATGAAAGCAGCGAAAATCATCCTAGGATGCCCCAAGCGCACAAGTAATGCAGCCGTCAGGGCAGAATTGGGGATCCAATCCCTACGGTCGGGAAGAGACGCAAGGAAGATGACATGGCCGTATCGCATGTGCGGCATGGGAGGAGAGGTAGCCGAGATTAGTATGGGAGGCGAGATGGGCAAACAAAAAGAGGGGTAGACAACCCACGGAATGGGTTAACGTTGTAGAGGACGTATGGAAGGGGTTAGAAATCGAAGAAGATGAAACGCTGGAAACGGAGTCTACAGGGGTTCAAGAAGAAGATATCTGTTGCTTGTGCCGAGAGAGAAGGAACAGAATCTAAGGAAAGAAACCGAGGATAAGGAGGGTCTAGAAGTGTACGGAATGTTGGAAAGAAGGAATAGGGTTCAAGGATTACCTACATGGACCAATGGATGCAGGGACAAAGCTTAAGGTCAAATTCAGGACCGGGGACATAGGCCTTCGATAACGTCGACGAAGACATAGATAGGACGATAGACGACGAAGACGACAAGTTCAAATGTGATTGCGGCTTCGAATGCGAAGACCGTGTTCATGTAGTCGCGGAATGTCCGTGGTACGAAGAGGAGAGGGAAGTGTACATGACTGAGCTGGGAAAAATACAAGGGACGTACAGGGAGATGTTTGAGGCATGGAATAGAGAGGAGAGGACGGTAGCTGTACTGGGGAGTAGGAAGTGGTTTGAAAAGGCGGGAAGGGATATCGTTAGGATAGACAGACTAGGGAAGGCATTTTTGAGCCGCCTTTGGCAAAGTAGGAAGGAACGATTGACCATCGGTGATCGGTCCTGTGGGAACAATGCTCCGTCCTCTCGAGGACGCGTGGTCAATGGTCTAACCGCTAAGGCATGCAAAACATAAGAGTAAGAGAGTACGCCCTCCCCCCCCCCCCCGGATTTCTAAAGGGGCCCCTACCCATAGGAAACATTATTAGTAGTTTCGTTTGTTCTTGCGTTCACTGCAGGCTGTCAACATGGAGCGCGGCGGGGGGTCAACGTGTTTGAAAATATGATTGGAAATATTCCTTGGGGATGACTTCGATGACTTCGTTTGTGCAGATAGATCGCAGCTAGCTCCGATAATTCGGGGAGATCGTCTACTACTCGGTCGGGTAGACCATTCCTGGCGTTTGTTCGCCTTTCGTCTTTCGTTCGCTTCAGCCGACGTCTTGGTGTCGTTTGTGGTCGGTCGCCGGTCAACCGAACCCGTGTACCGACAGGTAAGGTTGTACACAGGCGGCGCCAGGTACTACGGCGGTAGATGAGACAGAAAAATAAATAAATGTGGAGACTACAAACACATGCGCACGATGACCACTTGCAACAACAGGAGGACCCGTCGCGCACCACCAAAAAAACTGCTCTGGGCGGAGGGGGGTGTTCTGTGAGGGATATTTATTATACGGCTAAATAAAGTATTTTATTAAAATAAATTGCGTTGGATAGCTGATGGGCTGAAGTTTCTTCGTCGATTTTCGTTTTTTTTTTTGGAACACGGGGCACAAACATTGTCATTCTTAAACGAAAATCAACCCTATCTATGCTATCCCTCGAACATATATATTTTATTTTTTCTCGAACAGACGGACGGTGTTGTGGGATTACACGCGTAGCGATCCCTGAAGACCCTGATGAAGACTCACTTGTTTATAAATCTCTTGGAACAGCAGTGCTTGCTGTTGCTTTGCTCTCAAAGGTAGACTGAGCACAGAGGGGGAGGACATGCTCCCTCTAAAAGGGGCCACAAAGGTCCTGTCCCCTGTTTTATCCTTCCATCGGGAGTTACGTCTCCCGTACTTTCCTATCAACGGGCTGTTCAACAAAACTCCGAGATATGCATGCCCCCGTTTTCCAACAAAAAAAAATCGCTAAAATAACTTCGGCTCGTCAGCTACAAATCTAACGCAATTCGTTTTATGAAAACCTTATGCCGGGGCAAAAAGTTATAATTTTTCGAAATATTCCTCACAGAACCCCCCCCCCCTCCCAGAGCAATTTTTGGTGCGGCGGGCCCTTTTGCAAGTGGTCGTATGGTGACGTCGTGATGGGTTCAACTTGATATAGGACCTTTGCAGGATCTTTGTTCTTCTACTGATACTTGCGTGTTGCGTCACATGTGCATTCAGAAGTGACATCTCCCCTCGGAGAGCAACAGGCTCGATAAGACATACATGTCGACAATCAAGGTTTTCATCCCTTTTTAATGTTTTTGTCACAAGGGTTTTCAAAACACGTGGAGGGATTTGTGGGAGATGTAGTGTCGGTATGCAGCCGCCGCCTGCGCCGGCCTGCTCTTTTCTCTCGGCTCGCTGAGCCATATTGACAGGCTGGGCATGGCGACGGCACAGCAGGGGCAGCTGTCCGCAGCAGAGAAGAAGACCATCGAGTTCGGCTTGGTAAGGCTTCACACTTTGGACGATAGGACGCGCAAGGACGCGCCAAGAATGTTACAGAGATGATACAGACAGACGGCTCGCACACAGCAGGAACTTTCAAAATCGGGTGTGTTAGATGTACCATCAGTGCAAATCTTCGTGTGTGTGTGCGTTGTCTGGCGGCAGAGAGCGGGTTAGAAGGATTCTCTCACCTGGGAACCTTGTGTCATTAGTGCTGCTGGACATGTCGCCCCTTGGTCTCTCTCACGTCCGCAGGCCGTCGCGATCCTGACGTCGGGCCCCTGGGCGGGAGAATGCTCCAGCAAACGCAGCAGCGGCACCTCGGGCGACCCATCTAGCGATCAAAGAGCTTCGAAGCAGCTTAGGTTGTGGCAAGGGGCGTGTTTGGGAGGCCTTGCCCAGGTTGGCTCCGGGACAAGGTGTGAGAATGTACGTCGACTATGTACACTTCACGTGCTGTTTGTATGGGGGGCGTGAAAAGACAACCCATGCCAGCGGTGCCTTTGATGTAGCGTTATGTACAAGTAGGCGAGGCCCCCTTTCTTCCTGGGGGCTCACTGGGCATCGCATGAGTGATGCCAAACGACACCATGAACCCCGGGAGATTAGTATGTTTAGGTAAGGATCGAGTCTTTCCTCCGGAGTACATCTTTCTGTCTTAGTGTAGTACCGTAGGTTGCACAAGATATCGCACCCCCTGGACTGATTTTCAAACCTCGATTACTCAGCAGGAAAACCGGTGACGGTGCTGGAAACGGCAGCGCAGCGTTGGAACTGTCTGTTCGAGAGCTTTCCGAAAACGCATTATTTGAACTTTGGCATCCTCTTCCTCATGGAGTGATCGCGCTTTGAAAATCGGCCCAGGGGGTGTGGTATCTAATGCAACCTACGTTAGGTACATATGGTACATGTGGGTTGCGTTCCCCGCCGCACAGAGTCTACAACGTCTGAACTCTCGACCTCATTTTGGAATCGCCAGGAGGAGGCCTGAAGGCAAAAGGTGCGTATCCTGCAAGGCAAGCATGTTGGACGCCGTGGAAGCTCGCGGCCTGGTACAGTAGGTCAAACGATGCTGTGCAGGGGGCTCCTGAATCGTCCTATTTTTTTTTACAGCACACCTTTGCCCCGCGATAGGCTATCCGAGGAAAGCTGTGCACGGAAACAAGGCAATCTGACAAGGAAGTGCGAGAAGTCGAGTGAATTGCCTCCCCTCCTCCTCTTCTTCCTCCTCCTCCTCCTCCCCGCACACCGTTTCATGACTTCAGGCCACATCCTGCAACCACCCGGGACGACGACAGAGGGATAGCGCTTGCGGGAGGGAGTTGTGACAACACAAGCCACGGCATCGGCAGTACGTTCCCAGCAGAGCTGTCACACGCACGGAGGAGCCAACGCGGCGGTCCGTTCCCTGTCACCAGCGGCGGGTGCGGTTCCGCCGCCGCCGTTGAGCCCATGGGCAGGCTGCTGACGAGTGGTACTGGCTCCGACCTACGGTGAGATTCAAGCTAACAACGGCTGAGCACGCTATGTTGCGAATAGAAACAACCAGTTTCTTGTATGGCAGTGTATGTCTGGCTCTAGAGTATACAGCAGACAGAGTGTAGGGGGACGATCACAAGAGACAGGCCTTGTGAAAAGAGCTGCCAGCGGTATGGTTGCATGCACAAAACGTCATCGAACACTACTACTGTGGACCAATCAGGAGTTGAAAATGACTGCACAAACAAGGTCGTTCGTAGCCGCCGCGTCAAGCCTTGTAGAGTGTCGCCCATTGCACCGGCCGATGCGTCAAAAAAACACCGTCGACAAATTCTTTCAAACACCACCCGTTTCGTTATTTGTTACCCTCTCGGTTGTGGGGCAATCGACCCTTGAAAGTCGGCCTACCGTAGCGGGTATGCAATGACCAGCATGCTCACGTTACCCGGAGAAAATGGTCCCTGGGTGATGAAGAGATTGTTGTGCTTGGACTGAACGTCGCTCTCTACGTAGTATTGTTTTTTTTCTCCGGCATATATTTGAGGTTTCGCCTGCCCAATTCCGCAAACGGGCCCATCTCACGTCTTCTTCGCACACAAGTGTCAACTGGGTACGGCACGCCAAGGACGCTCGCCCACTAGGCGAGTAGGTTTACGGCGTAGGCGTGTAGCGAAAAAATCGATCAGTGACTGGCGCGCGCACGCGCTCGTGGCGAGTTAGTTGCGCAAAGCGCACGTTCGTTGTTCGTCCATGATTGACTACGAGGCGCTTTCGAGCGGAAGATGCGACCTTGCTGTAATCATGCGTGAACTCATCTTTGCGTCACAATCAGGGCGCTCGGGGCCGTGGCACTATCTGGCTGCCGTTCAGACGGCGCACGAGCAGTTCGGAAGGAGGTGGGTAGGGACTCCAAGAATCTTGGCGGTGCTGGTTGCTTCAAGTAGTCTCTGTGCGTCGCGTTTCCAGGCAGGCGAACCGGCGGTCATTCAAGCGAACGGTGGTCGTTGACTCGCCGCCCCCAACCCTCAGACAACGCTCGATCAATGTGGAGTGTCCTCTGAATTTACCCGATTGGAATAGTACTTCTTTCTTGAACGCGCGAGTTGTGGGTTCGTCCGTCCTCATGCTCGGTAACTAGACGGCATGTCGCCTTAGAACCGAAACGCTCAACCGTGTTTGGCGGCGGCGTCACTATTGCAGTCGCGCGGGAAGGTAATCGTTGCCCTGGCTCGAGCTAAGTTGATACGTAGAAGTCGGAGATTGGTCACCGAAAGCAAGCAGTTCGCAAATACCAGGTTCAGCAATGGGGGAAAGCAGCTGACAAGTCCTGCTATCTTGTCCCTAGTGACGCATCTCCAACGGCTCGACAGTGTTGAGCTTCACGCCACACCCAAACGGCACATTCACTCCAGACCTCGGTGTGCTCCAGCACGTTGCCCCCGAAGAGCGAGGTCAAAGCAGATTGACTTGGCAGGCGAGGGGGGTCTCACTCCAGACGGAACGCTGCCGCGTGTCGTGGCGTGCATGTTTTTGGGGTGGTTCGTCCCGCCCAGGCCCTGGAAGGGATATGGCATGGCGATTGCAGCCCTAGCACGGTGTCGCTGTTCGTGAGGGAGATGCTGGAACAAGTGGTTCTCTGCGGCCAATGCGTTGGATCTGGTAAGAAGCAGTCATCCTTGCGTCGTGTATGATGGCCCAGGTTGACCAGATGCTTTGTTGGCACAGTCAGTCCCCCACACGAAAACGAGACCTACGGCATACTGTTCCGCTATGTAGACGGCTTTTGGCCTGGAAACGGGTCGCCTTGCTGAGAAAAGAGCCGGGGATGCCTACGTGGGAAGTTTCAAGTGTCGGTAGAATAGTGATGGGTGAACAATGGCACTTTTCGCTGAGGTAGGAGGGTTGTCGGTTCCAAGTGTGCTCTGTCTCTGAAGATCCGGACCTTTGGTGTTACAGACGCTCGACCCTCTCGCTGGCGCAGAATATTCAAATTGTCACCTAACACTGAAAAATCTTGTGGGCGGATATGTTTTGCTCCTTCCGGTATAAACCTCCGAACAGCATACTTGTTCGTTTTACGGTGTCTGATATCGAGACAGGTACTTCTTACTCTGAATGTGATGCGACCAATCTTTTGTGTGAAGGAAAAGGCTGGCTTACGGCGGGTTGGGGGCGATTAGAGATCACCAACTTGCGCTGCTTTGCCGTTCTAGAGAGAGATTGCACTACTGCTGTACCCCAATATGTCTTTGTTGCTTTCCTGCCCAGGCCATACATACCGGCATGTGCTAGACCTCATGGTCTCCATCGTAGAGGAGGTCGCCGAGACAGCATCGGTAGTCGCCGCTGCCAACGCTAACGCGAACACGGGCCCATCGCAGCCACACGATTGGAGCGGCAACGATGCTGCGTCGATATCTCGCCGGATAGACGTCGCGCTAGCGGTCAGCCAAGCCTTCGACACAACCTTGGTACAGCTGGCCAGAGGACTCCGGGGGGGAGGCATATGCAGTATCACCGGGACGCAAGGGCTTCAGGTAAACACCACAAGCGGCGGCAGCAGCCACGGGGGTTCGTCAGCATCAGCGTTCACCCGTCGTCAACGACGCCGCGCGATGGTGGCGCAGCCTCAGTCCAGGGAAGCAACCGCACTGGCACAAGCGGGACGCGCAGGGCTTTTCCTCGATGCCTACGAGTCTGTCGTGGCTGGCCTTGGCAACGCTTTCAGCCACCTTGAGCTGGCGGAACATTCCTTCGGTGATGACGATGGTGGTGATGGTGGTGTCGACTCTCTCCCACCGAACGGGTCACCTACTGGCGACCGGCGCTCATCTCCAGATGAACTGTTGTTGTTCACACACCTCACGGGCGGCCAACACCTTGGCACACCGAACCGCCCCACAACTACGGTGCCGGAGAGGAACATGCCGGCAAATCATGGCCTGGGTTGGGATGCAGAGGCTCGACGGAACGCGTGGACGCAAACGAAGCTTGAGGTGCTTGGTAGGTGGCTCGATCTCTTGAGTGCGCCATGTGTTGAGGCATGCGACAAGCCGACGAAGCTGCTTTCAGTTCTTGCTACAGACATGATGTGATCTAGCAAACCTGCAGGAAAATTTCATGGGGAGAGAGAGGTAGACTTTCTGTCTAGCGTTTTCTTCATCGTCTCGAACCGATTTTGTTGGCCCATGTTGCAGAAGAAAGTTACGCCAAACGTTTTGGCTACCAAAGCCTGAGATAGATGCTCTGTTTGCTGTTGTATCTCTCCTTTGTCTATAATCTATGACACATATCGCCGAAGTTCATGCCCCCCCATTGCAGGGTACGAAAAACGCGTCGTGGTGAAAACCAGATGCCTTCCCTAGCGCTGTATGTTTCGTTGCAGTGCCCCCGTCCCCTCTCTCCTCTCATATCATGGCGCCACCACCTTTCCTGCAACCTGTCCTCCTGCGCTTAGCCTCTGGCCAACTATTTTCTTTTCTATACCGCCAACTGAACTGCAAGGAAGGCCAGCAAAACAGGCATCATCAACCTCGCAATTTACCTCGGCGTTCCTCGAGCGCGTGGTGAACGGTCTACAGCATTACTAGCCGAGTCATCAAGTAGTGGCTGATGACAAGTGGTTTGTGTTGCCCTCTCCCTTCGCCCCTGTTCGTGCTCTCTGCCTGTGAACACTTACTTTATCTCGTGTGGAAACAAAGCTGAGGCTACGACACTTCTGTCGAGTTTCCCCATGGGGCAACTCCGCCTCCAGCGTGTTGTCAGCCGTGTCTACGAATGGGCGAGGTTAGCCTGAAGGTCTGGAAAGGTGTTCGGCAGGACCGACCTCTCTCTCAGGGCCTCTCTCTTACTTTGCTGCCTGTGCTCAAGTCTCGCTTGCTTGATTTGAGTGCGGTTTGGACCAAAAGTCCACCATATAGCGGTTAGCGGTTAGTGGACCAAACGTCCACCATATAGGGCGGCTTGGGTGCAGCGGGAAGGCTCGTGATGGGTGGGGTTTGTGTGCGACGTTGCATGAAAAGCAACACAACCGGCGTGTACATACACAACCGGCCTGTACACGTCGTGTAGATACAGGAGTGCGTCTTTTTTTTTTTTTGTGTGTGGAAAACAAACTTGCGGGCATTTTTTGGGCTCGTCTTTTGGTTTTCAACCATCTGTCTGTGTCCACTATCTGCTACTGCTGCTGTAGATATCGAAATACATGTACTGTAGTCCTGTTTCGCCTCTTTGTCCGCTTGTTGGACGCACTCACTCGTGGATCATCGGGCACGCGCGCAGCACAACAAATAGAGAGATGTGGGCAAGCCAACAGAAGAAGAAGCAGACGCCGTTGGGCAACGCCTGTGTGCTACATTCACAACATACAGACAGCTAAAGAGACAATCACGCTTATGTACGAGTTTGTTGAAGCAAGTTGAAGCTAAATGCCATCACGACCATGATGATCACGAGGTTCTTTTGGTACAGTATACGTATCCATTTGGACAAAAGCGCTTCCATATCCCCATAGATGCCCCCGCTCAGCCGAACCCGACCGTGAAAAAGGTCTACAGCCGCTGGCCGTTGGGAGGTGTGTACACAGCTACCGGACGATCGGGGAATATAGAATACGAGCGTTGGAATCAAGCTTGTTGGAATTGTTGTTGTTATTGTCTTCACATTAAAAACCGTTCCGTTCTCTCTGCTCAGTACCTTCTTCTGTCCGTAATAGTCCAACACTTGACGGGGTCGATTCCCGTGGCCACAGGCTAACTTACCCAAAAAAAGGTATACGAAAATAAAATGGACCCAAAGGGTGCGCAAGCCAATAAAAGTCAACGACAGATAGTCTAGGCCACTCCGCTCGCCTCTCTGCACGCTATGCGAGGTAACCCTATAGATTGGAAAAATATAGAAAAAGTAAAAAGAAAAAGAAAAAGAAAAAGAAAGGAATAGAGCAGATGGAGAGAAGCAAAGGGAAAGAGAAAGACACAGACAGAGAAAGACACACGCCTTAGCGACAAACAACAAACAAACAAACAGAACAACACAAAACAACACAAAGACAAAGCGGGCCACTCGAGCCAGCCCATGCACGTCATCGCTCGCGGGGGGTTGGTGCAATGGTGCAGTGCTGGGGGGGGGGGGTGTACTCATAGTCGTGCATGCCGTAGTCGTTAGACCATTGACCTCGCATCCCTACAAAGCCGGGACGGGGCACGCCGGGTTCTCACCGGACCAGGCTCTCACATCACCAAGCGCGAAGCGCCGTGAGGTATTCGGCGAGTCGCATGAAGGGTGAGCTGCATCCTGCTAAGGGTGTTCGGCATCTTGTGCTTACTTCCTTGCGTACGGATGACAGCTGCGTATGACTTAATTTATTTTCTGGTGCTTTCACTTCCAGAGACAGTTGTAAGCACTACTGTGTAACTGCCTGGAGGATGCTTGACCATTTTAACACAACGTGGTGGGATCATCCCCCTTGTTCGGCTGGGGGAGGGGGGGGGGGGGTGTACTCATAGTCGTGCATGCCGTAGTCGTTTGACCATTGACCTCGCATCCCTACAAAGCCGGGACGGAGCACGCCGGGTTCTCACCGGACCAGGCTCTCACATCACCAAGCGCGAAGCGCCGTGAGGTATTTGGCGAGTCGCATGAAGGGTGAGCTGCATCCTGCTAAGGGTGTTCGGCATCTTGTGCTTACTTCCTTGCGTACGGATGACAGCTACGTATGACTTAATTTATTTTCTGGTGCTTTCACTTCCAGAGACAGTTGTAAGCACTGTGTAACTGCCTCGAGGAAGCTTGACCATTTTAACACAACGTGGTGCGATCATCCCCCGTTGCGCGGAGTGAGGTTTCTCGACCCCGCACAACATGATCTACTCGACCACCATT